TGCCTTCACTAGTTCGTCCAACTGAGGCAGAGACAGAGTCTGGGGGAAGTTTCTAACTTGTGTTGAATTAATCTGTATTATTTGCTTTTTAATGCACAGGCAGTTATGTAATTTCTACTGCCTTCGTAAACACAAAAAAGGCTGTGGAAGTTCATGAGCGTCCTTACGCCAGTGTGCATGCAATGCAAACTTGCACCGCAGCGAGCGCAGCCGGCCGGGGAGGCCTGTTAACTATCTGCATCATCGCAGTTGACGCACCGGATGCACCCTGAAGTATGCATTACATTCATCATTGTTGTACTTGTCTAGATCAAATTTCAGATAATCTCGGTACCTGAATTCGGCATTTTTGGGTTTATTTGTATTGTATAAAAACATGAATTCCTCATCATCCAAAACACCTGTAGAATATGCAAAGACGACAATTTCGCGAAGTCAATGAAGGTTCGCCATGACACAGAGCTGCATAATAAGGTTGCCTAGCGCGCGCTACATGTCGACTGAAATCTAAAAGGTTTTCATTTGTAGTCAACAGGTATAGTTGACTACGTTGACACGCATGACTAGTCGACGTGAACCAGGTCCACGTCCACACAATCTAAAAGTCCCTATTTGCATTTCATTTAACCATGTGCAGATCCCTGGTTCATCTTTAACTTTAAAATCAAAGTCAAATTAAATAATCATAGCATATACCTGTAGGCATACAGTACTTGCATATACTGTATGGGTGTGATACACTTATTCTCTTGGGTGAGATACAAGAGAAATTATTTTTCCCACACAACAAATCATCTGAACCTGTTTCTATCATTAGGCCAAGGTATGTGGCCTTCACTCTTGATGTCATAGCCTGGGTTCCAGGCCTTCATTTTATTTGGGTTACTCAGTGAATTCTGTGAAATACAATAATTTTACTGAGCTCAGTGCAGACCAAACCCAAGTTTATTTGGCACCTCATATGCTACTATTTCTGCTTTTTTTTCCCCTTGGGATCCAATACTACTGTACTCTCTCCAAAAAGCACAACTAGTAATGGACATAATGTATGCTTTCACAACACAATGCTTGGCCAGGATATCAGAGAATTCACACAAATTTTAATCAGTTACTTTTGTTTTTAATTTCTAATACTTCATGGTCTAAATTCTGAAACTTGATGTCTTTATCTGAATTAATGTCTTAGAAACAGGGGAATATTGTTACTGTAGACATCATGCTTGATTTCTAGAGGAACTTTACTAACTTGTAATACTAAAGCGCATCACTATAAAGATGTATTGTCCCATGCAAGATGACAAAAAAAATAAATAAATAAAATAATTTTTTTATTTTAAAACTTGCTCATTTTGAAGCATAAATATCAACTTGAACATAGAAATGAGTGTATTTAATAAGCGAAAATGATATAAGCACTTCCAATCATAGTGTTTTATTATTTTCATTACCATTATCCTGTATAAAAATTAGGGTATATGTTTTTTTAATTCATAATAATTTCTATGCCCAAGTTAATAATTTATATGTTATTGCAAAATGACCAAGTTAATATATAAATTACTTTTATGATTATTTGTCATTTTCAAAGGACAATGCTGTAAATCTTTAATCTCTGTACTTTTAAATATGGATGGTCTAATCTACAATTGGATGGTCATGTTCAACAGTTTGAAGTCTAATTTCAATAATTAACTAATTATTAGAAGAAACAATAACTCAATATTATACACACAGCGCACCAGTGAAAGACCAATTTGTGTAAAAAAAATGGCATGAATGAAAGTTGCAAGAAAAACTATTAATACAAACAAAACGAATTTAAATAATTTTTTTTTTTGTAATTACATTAATTTCTACACTAAAATTATTGTTTAGTGTACATCAATGTACAGTATTTAAAGTTAGTTAGTGTTTGGGATGATTCAATTCCTAAAATCATGATTTAATCAGGATGTTACGTTCCTGTACGCAGAGTGGCAAAACAGTATTGAGAGTGTGGCTTTTGACATAAGTTTCAATGCATGCTCTTGTAATGTATGATCCAGATTTAATATCCTGTGTCTGCAATATCCTTGGTAAATTCCTATACTGAGTTTGGTTAATAGAATTTCGTACTTCAAACAGGTCTTCCATTTATAGAAGCCTTTTTGGGGGGAGAATGCACCTTTTCATCAAGGATTTACAATGTGAAAAATACAGTGCTGCAATATAACTTCATTACAATTTTGAAACGTGTTGATATAAATTAAATAAAATTACAAATATGTACATGCATAACAAATTATTTTATATGGTAATAAATTAATAGCATAAGCATTAATTATTAATACTTCTATTTTAAACTTAGTATTGTTGTTACAGTATATTATAATAGATTATGAAATTAAATATGATTTTAAAATCATAATTACTGCAGGATAATAGATGTGTTTATTTATTATTTTTAAATATTGAATACAAAATAACAAAGAGAAAAATAAAGGAATGAAGCATTATAGCAAAGAGATCTGTAGTAGCTTACAGGATAATTTACTAGAAAATGGTTATTTTCCTCATAGCCCAAAGCTCCAATCCTTATTTCATATACTGTAGTACTGTATATAGATACGATCACCAATAGCCTGATGGTCAAAATTTACAGTATTTACTCTGACCACACTCAAATTTTATGGTGACAAATACTAGTGGGTTATGATGCCTCATTTGAGTTATTTATCCACATTAAAATTATTAAACAAAAATTATACAAAAGATGCAAAGAAAAAACCAATTTTAATTTCCATATAATCATCGAAGCAAGCTGGCGCCTCTTTGGTCGCATCCTCAGACTTGATGAGCACGCACTGGTCAGCCAATATTGCCATCAAGTTCTACTTTTGTACTCACTGACCCAAGTTCAGAGGTACACCCAGAACAACTTTACAGTACCTATAACCCTTAAATCGGACCTCAATTCACTCATCAATAACAAACACAATCTAAAATTACAATCACTTTATCGATCGCTACACCATCCATCAAAGCTCTTGCAAAAGAAGTATGACAGGAAGGATCTCACCTGCAACCTAACCAAACCAGCCCAGACAGAGAAGTAAGACCACTCAGCTGGCATAGAGACACTAAGTTAGTAAAGTCACTAGTGAGTTGCCCATAATACAGGAGTGATACGATATCATTATGCCCAAATATGGGCAAGTCCCACAAAACTGTCCCACTATATACAGTGTAACTGATCTAACATTGCAAATGCATTGCCATCATTCGATTAGGGTGGTAGACACTTCAAAACTACAATATATTACAATATGTAACCCTGACATTCCAAAACCTGAAATGTCTTTATTTTTGTGAATTTTCATATTTTTTTATTTTTTTAAAATTTATTGCGAATTGTCCATGACAGAGTTACCAAATGTCTGGGTTATGAAATGTCAACACCCCATTCACTGTCCTTTGAATAGGGTACTTACCTGATAAGTGGCTGCACTTAAGTTAGAAACGGCTATGAAAAGTAAGTTGTTCTGAATCATGTATATAAATGCAGGCACTGCAACCTTCAAGGTGTCCAATGGCTGGTCAACTATGTTCTGCTTCAGGTAGTGTCCAAACTCAAAAATCTTGAAGTTATGCTCTACAAGTAGTATGAGAACACACGTACTCATTTTGACCGCCTCCGTGACCACAACGGTCGTAGTTGAGAAGTACATGTCGCCAGGTAGAGTGCGCGTGTAGCGCATTGTTAGGATTAGCATACAGTTTTGAAACACAAGTAGAACCAAACTGATGTACTTCATGCTGAAGTAACTGGGGTTCACTGAAAGAAAAGAAATAAAATAATTAATTATATTGCAGTCGCCATCATTCACAGCGTAAAGCCAGGCTCGGCTGACGCGACTCTATAAAGAACGCAATGCGTCGATGCGCATGCAATGGTTTGTTTTTAATGATGGTCTGTTCACACTGCCACCGGCAATCAGCAGACAGTGCCGCTGTCGTCATACAACAGTCATAAATGCAGTAAGTGTCCGGCTTAATAGTCTCATTGTACCTTTAAAGATGTACTGTCTGTAAGTGTCAAGAGCTTGAAAAAAATAGAAAATTCAGTTCTATATTTTAATTCCATAATTTGCATATTTCAATATTAACTTTACAATCAAATATTTAAATGAGAAAAAAATTTACCATGTCAGTTACTGTAACTACTAACAAGGAGTTAAATGTAATACCTTTCTGTATTCCTTTTGCATACATCCTTTGCTTGTGCAGTAATTAATTTAAGAAATTTTATACTACAATATGTCTGTATCAGTGAAAACTATTTTTATTTTTTTTGTTTTTGTTTTTGTTTGGTATTAGAAATTAACTTATTTGATCGGTTTAAATGAGCTTTTCAAGATTTTATTTCAATTTTTGGGTTTTCAATTCCTTTTGGCAGGAAATAAAATCTTTATAATAGTAGACCTACTGTCATCTCTCATCTGGAAGATACTGTATGTGATGTGGAAGTCTCCATTGAAACAACTTGGTTTAATGTAAAGATAAGAACAGAGAGGGGGAGTGGTGTCTCTCTTTTACTTGAACAGACTTTGCTTGCAGTCATGAAAATAACATAAGAAAAGATACTGTATAGAAGCTGTTGTGGTTGATATCCTTCTTCCTAAAACTAAACCTACATTATTGTATTTTGTAGCATATACCGACCCCTGAAGGTTAACAATTTTCTTGATAAACTTGAATCGATATTCTCCAATTTAAGATCGGGATTGCAAAATGTATTTCCTTGGTGATATCAATATTAATTTTGATAACAAAAACAAATCTAGTTTAACTATGAATATAAAATATTACTATGTTTCCTCAACCTTAAACGACTTATTAAACAGACTACTCATATTACCGATTCTACTAGTTCTTAAATTAATCACATCATAACAAATTCCCCAGAATGAATTGTGTACCCTAAAATTTTGGTATAAACTGTAAAGTGACAATTTAGTTATTTATTGTACATGTTGTATAAAAAAACACCAATTTTTTAATCAGAAAACTATAATTATTAGATAGTTATGGTCAGGAAAATTGTTTAAATATCCTAGATGATATCAACTGGGATGATATCCGTACATGTAACGTTATTAATGCATGGGCAAAGTTTAAAACCGTATTCCTCAAAGTAGCCTACTTGATAAAGTTGCACGTAAAAGAAACCATGAACCATGGATGACTATATAAAATCCATAGTGATACATTATTTAACGAGACAATTATATAATTTAAAAAAAGACAGAAATAATAAAGAATCCTATATGCCACCTTTTGAATTAAGATTCCTAATAGACAAAATCCAAAGAGGTATTAAAATTGCTAAATCTAATTAAGACAAAAGATTATTACAAAAACAAGAAAAAAGTCATTCTTAGACTTTATGGGTTATCAGTGGCTTTGATGTTGGTAGTTCTTTTTATTTTTGTGTGTCGATTCTTTTATGTTTTGATTTTTTATGAACTCGGACGTTTATTATAAATTGATGTTATTTTATAAAAATGCTTGATGTTTGTAGTTTTTCCCATGTTTATATGTACACTTTGTCGATTTTAATAATGTTTTAATATTATGACTCTGGATTTTATTTGAGACTTGAGATGGATGTTACTTTTAAATTTTGCATACTAATATTAAAGTAAAGCGGAATAAAATCAATCAATCAATAAATCTCATCACCTTATTTTCAGTGGTGTATCTCTCCCCACGTCCATCGACAACAATATTATTTTTTATACTATAATGTTTTCCTGAAGAATATTTTAATTATTAATATATGTGACCGGCTCTGGCAAAACCCCCATTCGTTGCAATTTATAATTTCCTGCAACCACCCAAAACGATCGAGAATCATAGTTTTGAACATTGTTGATTGCATTTTATAAAAGAAGATAACAATTGAAGAACATTTCTGCAAAATATCAATCCATAAATTAAACTGAAAAGTATATAAAAATTATTTTTAAAATAAAAGTCACTCCAGTTTACAAAGCTGGGATTAAATCTGAAATAAACAATTATCGCCCAATTTCTATTCTCTCTATTTTTTCTGAACTTTTTGAACGGTTTATATGTATATGCTTTTATTCAGAAAATAATATTCTTTATAAACATCAATTTGGTTTTAGAAAAGAGTATTCCACGTCTTTGGCCTTGATAGATTTAACCATGGACCTTATTAATAGGTCCATGATTTAACCAACCGTAATATTACTGATGCATTTCAAAATAACAGCTATGCAATGGGTATTTGATCAATCTGTCAAAAGCTTTTGACACAATTGATCTTGACATACTCCCTTTAAGTTACACAATTATAGTATTCGTGGCACAATCTTAATCTCTGTAAAAGTTATTTAACAAATCGTTCGCAAAGTACTAAATACATGCATGCATCTTCCAAATTCAGGCAAATCTCATGTGAAGTTCTACAAGGATCACTTCTTGGTCCTTTACTTATACTATAAAATTACCTCTATATTAAAGTTCTCTAAAAATGTCTCTCTTTCATTTTATATTATATTATTCTAGTACATAACATTGATTCTCTTTTTTTAAGTTGTCAATTTTGAACTCAAAGCTGTTATTGATTATTTTTCTGGTAACAAGTTTTCAGTTAATGTATGCAAGTGTAATGCTATTGTTTTCCACGGTCATAATAAACATTATTCCAAAATTCTAATAAGATTGTTACTTTAAATAATGTGGTTATTCCCTTAGATGACAAAGGTAAATTTCTGGGAATTTTCTGTTGACTCTTAGTTAAATTGGAAACATCATATACAATGTATTTCTGAAAAAAAAAAAAAATTAGTATTATTTATAGACTTTCTAAACATGTTCTTCAATCAATCTTACGTACTGTAATTTTGTTCTTACTAATCTGGTCTTCAAGCATTTCTCTCTTTTTAACAATTTATTACTGTATAATTTTGATTTTTATTAAACTATGCTACCAGATCTGCTAATGAAGTACATTTCCCGCAACCCCATACTGATGCCCTTGTTTTTTCAACATTCATTTCAGCGGTCCCAAATTCTGGAACAATATACCTCTCAACATTAGAAATATAGCTCTAAACAAAAAGTCCCTTACTTATCAACTTAAACATAATCTTATTTCAAATTATTAAGCAGGTAATGACCTGAATTATTTATTTACTGTATTATACTTGACTGTTTGATTGATTGTGTTTTGTGCATGTGTTTTGTTTTCATGTTTTTTGTTTTTGGATTTTGGTTTGTGTTTTGCATGTTTATATCTCTCTGTTTAAACTAATTACCATTCACATTCATGGCTCCTCCCACACTGGTTTACCTTTCAGAGGATGCCTCCTTCTTGCTGTTTGCTGTCTCTTTTTCTACTTCTTTACATAATATTTACTATTATTGAGAAAGATTTATTATATACTGTATTCCATTTTTTAATTTTTTTGTTATTAATTTGAGAAGTAGATATTTTTGTGATTTGGTTTTAACACTGAGAAAGTAGAAAATTATGTTTTGATGATTTGAGAAAATAAACTACAGAAAAAAAGAAGAAACATAAAAGACATTATCCAAAAATAGGAATGGGGCTGGGAGAGGGGTGATTTTTAGGGAGGTCTTACCTATCTAGGCCTATACATCCCATACTGTAATTTTTTTTAATTGCAGGGAAAACTGTAGTTTAAATTCCTCCATGGTATAACATATGACATGTCATTGAGCTGGCCGTTTTTTATTTAATTACACGCATGAATGGTTTATCGATCACTCAAAACACTTCCCCAAACCCAGAGGCTAGGCATAGTAGTAGTAGCTGGCCCTGGACCTAGCTAGCTAGGATAGGCCTAGTCTAGACTTGGATGAACTTGGATTGAACATGTTTCGGAAAGGGTAAGCATTACCTGGTGTGAGTGTGTCACCTGCAGACATTTTGATTATCGCATCAGCTCCTCTCTCAGAAGCTTTCACAGGCATTGTATACTTCTTTCTAGGAGTAGACCCATTGAATTTAAATATGAATGAAAATACAAAACAAGAAGCAACAACGAGAACGGCGGTACGTGGCTAAAATAAAACTACATTAAAAAAATACGAAAACGCCACCATCGTCAGGCATTTATATATTAGCCTTCAACAAGTACTTTTTAGAAATTGTACTGGAGGCTGTATTACAAGCCTACTGCACTTTGACACACATGTGTTTGCAGAGTATAACGTTTGCATGATTTCGCTAATTCCGCCAGTGGATGAGTGCTGGTGAAATTTCTTATTCCTGTTCTAATTGGATATTTTTTAATTAGTTTGCATCGAATGAAAACTAATAATGTCTTACTGTAGACAAGAAGGTTATTATGTTTTTAAAAAATTGTATGTTTAGGTTAAGCCTAGGCCCCCACCATGCCATGGTATTTCTAACCTAGCCTAGGCTAGTCCTGGCCTAGCCTATCTAGAGTCTAGGTAGGCCTAGGCTAGGCTATCTTTTATGTTAACGATCAGGTTAGCGCCTTGCTTGTTAGCTACCACTACCGGCCTAGCCTAGGCCAAATACCTGTGGCCTTCATTCGAGAAAGTATACTGCAGACTCTATTAGCAGAAGCGAAATTTGACTATATTGCCTTGCCTTTTAGGCTTTAGTTTTAGTTAGTCCAAGCTTACAATGCAGGTCGACCGGACCACCTTAACCTCTCGGCCATTCAAATCCTACTCGCTCCGAATGATGTACTGGGTTCTTTTGCACACGAGCCATTGTGTATACAGTACACTGGGCCTACGGTTTATAGTCCTTATCTGAGAAGACTTTTTCAACCACCAGAAGCATAGACTAGCATGCCGTTTGAACCAGCGCTGATATTATGGCTGTAGGTTGCGGTACCCCTGCCTTAACTGCTCGGCCATTCAACTGACATTTAAAATTTAAAATAAATTAGGCTGCTGTGAGCTAATCTTAATATATAAACAATGTATTATGCAATAGTTATGATTCTGAGCATCTATTTTCCTAACGATTTTCTACGCAAGTTTTACGCATTTAATATACTTTACTGTATGGCCACCATTTTTTTAAGTACGTGTATTCTCAATTAATTCTTCAATTACCCCTACAATGTCTTAGATTTTAGAACATTCGTTTGTACAAAATTATAATTTTTTTTTCCCTCTGGAACCTGGCTTTAGGACTTCTCTAAAAAAAGAAGCAGTAGGCAGCAGGTTGTGGCTCAGACTCCCTTCCTTGAAATCGGGGGTTCGAAAGTCTCGCTGTGCAAGCCGCTATTGTCTTTAGGGAACTGGCATATGCTGGGAAGGTAAAAGAGTCTGCTGTGTGGGAGGAGTGGTGACCACCCCCCCCCCCCAACAGCATTGCACAGTCTGGCCCAAACACCATGGAAAGAGAGACAGGGGCTACTCCAGCCCGTGAGCCCAGAGATTCAGGTTACGACCTTTACATACTATTAATAATAATTCTAAATTGCTTCACAGGTAAAGATAAAATAATATTTGCCACAAAAGAAGATCATGAAAAACCGAGCAAGGTTGATTTTGGAGAAATTGAAGAAGAGGGGGAAGGTAACTGTGTGCATTTATTTGTTGCTTAATGAGGGGGATCCAAAATTTAGCTCTAGAAATGAGCATCCATGCCCTTGACAAGCTGCTGCAGGTTTCTCCTGCTCTTGACAGACTCAAGGTTATCCCTAGCTATAAAAATGTTCATTGAGCCCAATGGTTTAAAGGATAGCTTAGTGCTATGCTTTTATTTATTCCTCTATTGCTATTAGCACTGCCATGCTCTTATAGTGGACAAGACCCTCTATACTCAGTCATTAGTAATACATTATTAAATATATAATTTATTATAATACTACCATTTTTTCATTGATTTATATATTTGTGTTTTTACAGGCTTGATTCTTCCCAATGGTGACATCAACTGGAATTGTCCATGCCTAGGAGGAATGGCTACTGGTCCATGTGGAGTAGAATTCCGTGAGGCTTTCTCCTGTTTTCACTACAGTGAATCTGAACCAAAGGGATCTGATTGTCTGCAACCATTTCGCACAATGCAGGAATGCATGGTGCAGTATCCAACTTTATATCCTACGAACGATGACAACGATGATATAGACAATAGCGATCCATTGCCAGATGTCGAGGAGGCATCAGAGTCAAAGAAAGATGTAGGTCAAAGTTCACAGTCATCTGATTCAGAAGAAGGCTCGAGCGTATGATGACCATATGATAATATGCATTTCCACTAATAATCTCAGGATGAAGAAATATACTGGCAGGTTCAAAACCCAGGAAAGACTGATCTGGGGAGTAGGGGAGAAGTTCAGGGTAGGGGGACATAGACAAATTAACATTACAGTACAATGATAGTGAAAAGAATGCATTTTGCGAGATAGATTAATTTTATCAATCATCTTAAGATGTTCACCGTGTGAACCTAAGCTCATAGATTAATGTTGTCTAAAGCTTGCTTTCTATACAACTTCTACATGCTATCGCCGACAGCTTTAGGGGCTGCTGATTGGTCAGTCAAAACGGGGAGCCTTCCTGATTGCGTTTGGGACCGCTACGCAGTATAACTATTGCGCTGAAAACATTGCAGTGACAGCGTGTAGCGATCTTAAGTAAACCAGGCTGATAAGTCCTGTTAATCTCAGCTTTATCACAAATTTTAAACTGTAATTGATTATTGAAATTTTATAGCTAAAGCTTTAGTACAGTATGTAAATTCATTAGATATTTTAATGGAATGTATAATATTAAAATAAATGTTTAATGTTATATACATTCCACAAGATTGAATTTGCTGGATATTCTTCAATTCAATGGCACATACTGTAGATTAACATTTCATATTTTTTTTTAAATGATCAAGGTGCTTAAAATAAAAAAAAAAGCCTAGAAACTAACCAAGTAAAGCAAAAACAAAAATTCCAAAATATCAGCTTTCCTTTAAGGCAGTGGACAAAGTGCAGCCCGCGGGGCGCATGCGGCCCAACATTGACTATTTTGCGTCCTGTGAAAATGAATTGAAAACCCTATACCACCAAACATTTTTTACTAGAAAACACCTTGTTTTTTATGGCCCGACACTGATCATCTGTAAAAAGTAATGTTAAATCTGAGAATAAAAGTGGTATAAAAGCAGTGCATTAAGGTTTTTAGAAGCATACTGAAAACATCAAAGTGAGTGTGCGGCCCTCTGTGTTAAATAAAAAATTTACTGTATTTTCGCCCTCCGACCAATTTGTATGCCCAGCCCTGGTTTAAGGTCTGTCCAAACTATGTAGGTTTTTGTTACAAATACTTGCAATTAGGCCATATATGGGTATTAAATAATATGACATCGTCAGCCCACATATCGGGGGTCATAAATTGAAAGAAGCCATTTCCGAGAGATCTACATTGGCCGATTCAGGGCAGAGAGGGACTTTCACACTTCAGACCCAAGTCTCCCGCGAGTACTGGGAGACTTGGGACCCCTGACATATAACAATGTGAACAGATCTTTAAACATGTATTTTCTCCCGACCCCCTACAAATCAACAAACAAATCATAAAAAATAATTTTCAAATTAACTTGCTAACTTTGCAATAACAGAAGCAGTAAAATAGAAATGATTAACTTGATCATAGAAATTATTGTATTTAAAAAATCCTGATTTTTATATTGGATAATGATAATAAAAATAAAATATTTCCAGTATTTTTATCATTTATTTTTCCCTGAATTATGGGTAAACGTGTTTTTTAAATACACTAATTTCTATGTTCAAGTTGATAATGTTTATTTTATTTCAAAATGAGCAAGTTAATTTCAAGTATGATATTTTAAAATAATTTTTTGCATGAAACAATAGGTCCCTACTTCTTTCTCAATTAAGCGCCGCAGTATCACCCAGTGTGTAATGAAACACTTTGAAGAAACAGGGTTTTAAATACACATGTATACAATGTTAAAATGAATAAATAACACAATGAAAACACAAGCATTTCTTTATAAGCGTTTAGTTACAAAGACGTAGGACCTATGATAGGCCTGCTGAACTACGGGAATACGTGAAATAGGTAACATGGAAACGGGCATGGAAAGCGCCACGCCAATAGTTGTTTATAAGTGCCGCTCTCGAATAAGCACCGCCCTTGAAACAGGCTGCTCTAGAATAAGCTGAAGCCTCCAAAAATTGTATAAGCGCTGCGACTCTTATTCAAACATTTACGGTATGTGTGTTGTATGTGTGTTTTGTGTAAGTTTATGTGTTGCTTAAGTTATATTATGTTTGTTCTGTATTTGGTGGTATATGCGTCTTTATTATGTACACTGTACAGTATATGAAAAAGACAAGGTTAATCATAATGACAAAATGAAGCTCAAATGTATTGTTTATGCCGGGATGGTTTATGACATGAAAAAGATTTCTATCTCAAGAATTTATATTTATTCTTAATTTAGGTACTGTAATTTGTTTACTATATGTAGATCCAAATGAGTTTATTGAACAATTTTGTTCCGAGTCTGGGAATATAATATGTGTTTTTGTGTGTTTTGTTTATGTGTGTTTTGTGTAAGTATATGTTGTTTAATGAGTAATATTATGTCTGTATTATGGTGGTGTATATGTGGTTTCCTATTATGTACAGTGTGTAAAAATGACTGAGTAAAGTTAATCGTAATGACGATATCAAGCTAAATGTATTGTTTAAGTCATGAAACAGAATTCGATCTCAATAAATTGATACTATATAGTGCGGTAAAGCTTGTCCATTAATTTGAATGCTAATAATAGACCTAATTATAATATCGTCGATATTAAACTGTGGTCGATTCGATCTTTATGATTATTTTTCCTTTATTGAGGGACTATTATGAATATAGGAATTATATAAATATGACGTAAAGATTCTATCGTCCTTAGCTTATCAACGAAAATGTTTTTCATCAACTTGAAAACAAATAAAAGGGCCCGATTAGTTATCTCAGATACAGTCCAACGTCCAACCAAGAGCACTTATTTAAATAACTGATATGACGCCGCCAAGTTAAAACCACCCCCCCCCCCCCACACCCCCCCCCCCCAAACACACACCATACACGAACACGAACTGTTTAATATCATAAAATACCCTCCAGGTGCTTCTTTCCAGGGATTTGCACCTCCCTTTGACAACTTATCCCTCATAGAGCAACATTGGAATCAACAAGTTCTGTTATCTTTCATGTTTTATATCATTGATCATTTATTTAAAGAGAGTACAGCAAGACGATGTTCAATGGTCATGTACTGTTAATAGCGCCTTCCACAGTAGAAACGCGAATGGAAGGAGGAAGGTAGGTGCGCACCCCCCGATTTTGAGATAATTTCTTTCCCACGCCATTATCTTTATTTTCATTTTCTTTATTTCGTAATCAAGTACAGTACATAAAATAGGCCTACTGTTACAACAAAGTGTATATTTGTAACATACACAAAAACCTGTATTGTCCATTATTGTGAGCCCCACCTCCCCCCTCCTTGGTATTTATTTTTATTTATTTGGTGACGCTACACCTGTGTATCGGTGGAACTCACAGTCAGTAAACTTAAAAACTTAACAAATCAAACCAAATAATATGCTGAAAAAGAAGTCAGATAAATAAAAAAAAAAACATAAAGCAAATTGAGCACCAAAACTCCAATGGAAGCAGCCAAATAAGCAAAAGGAAATCAAAG